AAAATCCAAAGTACTAAGTACCCCTTCATTTACCAATCTTTTAATTCTCTCAATGGAGATGTGTCCCAATCTCCGATGCCACAACATAGAGGATTCCTCATTTATAACACATCATTTAATACCAACATTTCTATGAACGTGCATAGTAGCATAGTTCTCGTCATTTTGTAAATTAAGATGGAAAAGATTATCAGACAAAGTACCATAACCAACAATTTCAGATTTGTTAGATAAACTAAAACCAGAATCTGAAAAATTAAACGAATATCCAACCGATACAAGTCTGGAAACTGAAATCAAATTTCTAGAAAAACCAGGAACATAAAAGGTTCTTTCTAAAGACAAAATGAAACCACTACTTAAAATTAGCTTGCACGTTCCAACAGCCTCCACATGTGAGGGCATCTTATTTCCAGAATAGATGCTCTGCTCACTTCCCACTGGCTTCCGCAGGTCGTGTAATTCCTGCAAGGAATTGGTCACATGGATTGAAGAACCAGAGTCAATCCACCAAGTGTTATGATTAACATCTATCATATTGGATTCATAACAAACAAGTAAAAGTTGAGTACCTTTCTTGTCAAGCCAGTTTTTGAACTTGGAGCAATTTTTCTTTATGTGTCCCTTCTTTTTGCAAAAGAAACACTTTAACTCCTTCTTGATGTCCGACTGGGGAGGAATCTTGCCCTTTCCCTTTTGTTTGGCTTGATCCTTTTTCTTTCCAGGAACTGTCAAGTTCACCTTCTCACACTCTTCCATTGCTAACCTTCCCTCCTCTTGAACACACATGGTCAACAGTTCATTAATTGACCATTTGTCCTTATGTGTGTTATAAGAGATCTTAAAGGGACCATATGCTGGGGCAGAGTGCATAGAATGAAGTGAACCAGGAAAGTATCTAACATCTCAACTTCCAACGCTTTCAGTTGAGCCGCTATATCCCTCATGCGCATGATATGATCACGCACGCCTCTAATCCCGGTGAGCTTCATGGATGAGAACTGCATAATTAGGGTGCTTGCTAATGCCTTGTCTGATGTCACAAATTGATCATCAATTACCTTCAGCAATTCTCGAACATTTTACAAAATTTGAAGCTAAAATAACATATGACATGTTTTACCAATGTAAAAACATGCAAAACATGAGTCTAGCGACATAAAACTTGCCTGTGGGCTAAAGTTCTAATTCAATTAGATTCATCTTAACTTCACAATAAAACTATCAAATTATGTTCTCTTTTCTAATACCTGTGGGCAAATTAGAAAATATAGTTTGATATTTTATCCTAATTAATCACATATAATACGATAAAAATTCCTGTGGGATAAGATTTACCATATCAATTATGATTAATCACAATTAATGTTTGTTCTCCAAACGTGATCCCAAATGAACCTTAATATTTAATTTCAATTAATTAAAGATGCTGTGGCTATTCCTTAATTAATTAAAACTATATGGATCACCAAACATTAACTAAATTCTTAGGCTCAAACTATTGCTAAACCATATGCAATGCTAATATAAAATTGGACATTAAAGTACTAATATTATTCAACTTAATATGCATGTATAATAAATTATTCACACAAATAACGAAAAAAAAAATAATATAAGTAAATCAATATCCAAATTAAATTCATAAAGAGCCTTCATTAGAATTAATTTTAATGTGTATAAATTATTTAACTTAATAATGTATGCATAATAAACCATAAAATTTATACATACAAACAACATAAATAAATAATTTAAACACCATTCTTTGCAGCAGGTTCAAGATTAAATTAACAATAATATTAAATAATACTAAACTTTCCTTTTTCATCCAAGTTGCCTGCTATTTCATGCAAATTGATACTATTTTCATGCAAGTTTGCCGGCTGTTATGTATGTGTAGGTCATATCATATTCAATGCAAACATATATATCATGCAAGTGGCAACCATATGGTCCTTTAATAACATAAATTAATATTTTAAAATCAAAGGAATCTGCAAATCTCCTGTAAAATTCTGAAATGCCAGGTTTCTTTTTTTTTTCTTTTTTAAATGTACAGATCGTCTTCTACAAGTGCCGGGTCACTTAAACCCGGTTCCGACCCGAATGAAAAACCCAGTCATATATCATGATTCCGACCACCAAATTTTGCAAAATTTATATCAAAAATCTCAGAAATCAATTTCCTAATGATTCCTAGCTTTATTTCCATCAAAAACACATGAAACATGGATCTGAAATTTCTAGAAAAATTACAGAAAATTTCTGAAAATTTTTGCAAAGAACAAAATGGCAAGGCAGAGGCAAATAGTACTCTGATACCAACTGTTAGAGCTTTATCACGATCTATCATGTGAATAAACAACAACATATAGATCAAATGCGGAAACTGAAGATCATAAACTGACCTCCAGCCATTGTCGTTTGAACTGCAAAATTTCTAATTGTGTTTGGTGCTTCCAAGCCTTCAAGACCTCTCTGCGATGGTGTAGTTTCATGAAAGTCTCGGCTAGGGGACCAATACCACTTTATTCCCTTTATATACTTCTTCCCATCAAAGAAGTTACGAAACGTGAACGGTTACCACAAAGTAGGGAAGATGGACAGTTATGAGAAGGTGAGAAGGTGAATAACTTCCAATAAAAGAAGAAGATAATTGGACCATTTAAGACCATTTTAAGAAGATAATTGGACCATTTAAGACCATTTAAAAATACCAACAAAGGTTTACAATAGTTTCCATCAAGATGAAGTGGCGGAATCTGCTATGCACAAGTATGTTGTGCACTTTATACCTTTAAACGAGTAGCCTCCTAAGCGGAAACAACATCCTGGTTTCATTGTCAAGAAACTATACGACACTGAACAGAGGAAGCTGTTTGAGCTAACAGATAAAGATTTTGAAGAGAACAAACTACATGAAATTGACATTCTTTTTCAAAAGACTATTTGACGTATAGGAGACCTTCCTGACCTTGAGCCAGAGAATACTGTTGTGGATTAGGAAGATCAGACAAAGAATAAACATCTTTTAAGGAGGAATTTGGCACCTTTGGATGTGCCCAGGGAGGATGAAGGTATTAGTAGATCTCATCAAGCGCCTGGAGCCAAAACTCCAGGGAGCATTGCTGCTAGTACATCGGAGTATTATGCCATCCTATCAAATCATAAGGTACTCACTGGAGAAAAGCAGTGGGACAGGTGGTTGGAAAAGCTACTACAAGCAATTCAATTTATGTGCACTCCAGTGGAAAGCAAACAGAATGATGGGAATGAAAAAGACTGCTGGTGATAAGAGTGGTAGTTCAAATTATGTAAATCGATCGCATGAAAAAACTCCAAATGTAAGGGTGGGAATATTTTCTAAGATTGTGGAACATTCATTTGCATATTTTGATATACTTGAGATTAGTTATAAGAAAATACACACATATATCAGAACATACTTGCGGTGTTTCCTTTTTTGCACAGGGAGATGTGTCTTTTCACTGGCCAGATGCTGCTGTTCCTGCTATAGCTTCTCTTGAGAAGGCTGGACATGATGCCCTCTCCTCAGATTATCACAAGTATAATCAAAAGATGCGACAGTTAAGATTCAATCTTAAGGTTAGGCCATTGCCAGCTTTCTTTTCACGTGTCTGCAGACATCAGTATATTTGTATCAAATATAAAAAATTACTGCACTTCTGCACAACAGTTTCGCAAATATACTTCTTTGGTCTCAGTAAGATGCAATACTTTAATCTATCTTTATCTATAGTGTAATTAATCGATTTCAGTTCTCTCTTAAATTTTTCTTCTACATATGTTTACCTGAGTTGTACTTTTTCTTTTTACATTCACTATTTCTTGCCAGAACAATGCTGTTTTAGCAAGACGTTTTCTGACCGGGGAGTTGGAGCCTCCACGGATATCGAATATGTCACCAAATGAATAAAACGTCGAGTCTTCTTATGGGTTCTTACTCTGAGTTGATCTCTTGAAAAATTCTTACCGTTTTCTGTTTTCTTTTGGGCATTGTGCTCTTGATGCTTTTAGCACTCATATCTACATGGTAATTATAACTCTCCTCAAACTTGGGTTCTATTGGAGAAATTGTAACCTTAAACAAGTTTTGCTGTCAGGTTGATGGTACAAAACACCATTTATTTATTACTACTCTTCATTGTCTAGACTTTTGGTTCTAGAAAGTCTACGTCCTCTTAGAAATTATTGCTTTAGCTTGTGTTTCTCATCAGTTCCAAAACATAAGTATTTCTCCTCTGTTTTATGTACATAAATTCAACTAAACCTTCTACTTCCTATCTGAGTTTGGATTATCACCTCTGGCGAGTGAGTGAATTTTTATATGGGTACAAGGATTTCTGTTTGCTGGAAATCCTTCTCAGCTCCATGAGCTGTGTTGAGGAAGTGCCATTGGTTTGGTCCTTAACTTGTTGAACTGAAACTGACACATTCTAAGAGCATGAACCAAGTGAAAGTGACATCGAAATATTGTGTCTGTTCAGGTGTAAGAATTGCTACCAGTTAAGTATTCACTTGATGCATTTGGAACTGTCCCTGAACTCTCACAGTTTAACCCTGCTCCTGCCGGACAATTTTTTCAGGGGGTCTAACAGCAGAGGAAATAGCTAGCAAGGAGCCTGAGGAGTCAGGCCTCATGCAGGTTACTCTGTTATCTGATGATTGTGTAGTTGAAATATTTAGGCTTACAATTATATTCCAACAGAATTAATTTGTTGATCAGATGGTATTTGATGGACCTAATTTCGGACGGGAGAGAATATGAGCATATATGGATGAACCATGACTGCCACGGGCGTCCTCCTTTCGACTGACCATCGCTTACCTGGTTGGTTTAAATCCTATTGACCAACCACCACAGCACATGTGAAGGCGAAATTGAAAGTAAATAGCTAAACACCTGTCACGTAGACCAAGGCAAGATAAGCGAGGAAAATGACTACTAATTCCGGAGCACACACCAAAAGATGATGTAAACATGAAATTGATCTTTCATTCCCAATTTACAGCCAAAGTTAGCATCAAGATATCTCAATCCTCTTGTCTTCCAGTTTAAATACCGTAATTCATAGTTTAATTCTTGTACAATATATTCAAATCTTAATATGTGGCTATAATTGTTCGACATGGTTAGTGATTTCATCCGGGCAAGAATGTGCTTGCAGAAGCTCCAATCGTGTGAAAGGTGGGGCAAACTGCAAGATGTAGTCTTCATCTGCAGCCACATAATGGAATTTGAATCAGTGTGTTTAAAGATATGTTGAGAAAATGATCAAAATAGAAGAAATCTTACTCTCTTTAATTGTCCCATAAAGCCAGCATAACACCTCATCAGCAAATGCTAGGCAAACTCCTCCCTGCCAGAATTCAAACAAAAAGATCAAGAAATTAAGGCCATGTTTGATAGCCTTGATTTTCCATGGAAAATGGAAAATATTTTCCATTTCCAACCAATTTGTGTTGTTTGATTGCTAAAAATTTCCATGGAATTTGTTTTCCAACTTCTTGCCACACGTGCCAATTCCATGTTTTTGTGGAAATTCAATTCTCATCATTTCAATGAAATTTCTTTTGTTTTTTTCTATTGTATTCCTTTCTCAACATTTATATTGATAACAGTATATCGAACAAATATAATTCAGTGAAGTGGTGGTGAGAATTGGATTTCCAGCCCTTTTTTTTTGGCAATTGGAACAAATTTTATTCCCAATTGAAACAAATTGTCCCTTTAGTTGACAATTTTCATGAAAAACAAAGTCAAATGAACACCAAAAGATATAAAATTTCAACATTTTTTAGGTGAAAAATTATACCAATCAAACACATTTAATTGCCAATTCCCAGAAAAACAATATCTAGGCAATTCAATTCCCTGAAATTCGTTTTCTTTCCACCCAAATTCCACCCTTATAATCAAACGGACCCTAATATCTTTAGCATGTAAAGTTATATGCAAGGATATGATTTATACGAGAACCAATCTAATAAGATAAAGGAGAAAAGAACAATGAAAAAAAAATACGCAGATAAAAAATTTACCTGCCAATAGTTTTTCATCTTTACTCTGTGTGTTATGTCCTTGCTTCTTAGTCTTTCTGTACGGACAAGACGGCAGTATCATCCCTGCATCAAGGAAATGCCAACAAATATGAAGAGGGGGAGAAGAGGTTTTTGTTTATTAGACTCTGGAAATTACAATCATCTATACAGGATAAAGAGGGAAGAACAAAAAAAGAAAGAAAAGAGAAAGATTAGAGTGCGTTTGGTTTGTTGTTTTGAGGTCATTTTCAGTATAGAGTTTTCTAAAACACTTAAAACGTGTTTGATATATTATTTTCAAAAATACATTTTCGAAAGCAAGGAAAATTTTACAACATAAAACTCAAAATGACTTTTCGACGGTTTGATTGTTTTCAATGAAAACACTCAAAAAACACTTAAAACAAGGAAAATGATTTTAAAAATTTTTCAAATTAAAATAATTAATAAAATAACACCAAACCTACCCAAATACAAATCTCTCTCTCTCTCTCTCTCTCTAGCTCCTTCAAGAACCATAATGGAGAATCCATCTCTTTGGTACTATCTCTCAATCTTACAATGATTCATTTTTTTTAATCATATATTAGCATAAAATTGATATGTTTTACTAAATAATCAAATTGATTGAAAAAAACTCATAAAACTATTTCTAAAATTTTTATACGAAATGTGTTTTCTAATTTTTTGTTTTGAGAAACAGTTTTTCAGAATGACAAACCAAACGCATTCTCTGCAATCTTAAAATAATCCTTCAAAACAAAAAATAGAAAATGAATTCAAAACTGAAAACAAAACTGCAAACCAGGTGCACTATTAGTTTCAAAGGACATGGAAATACCTGAAACCAATGACAACATACGGTACACCAGCAAGGAATGACTGAATCTGAAGCAGCAAAGATAGCAATATGATTCCGATATATAGAAAGTCAAGATAAATCTCTGACCATCTAAATTCAGAGTAAATTTCCAAATAAGCAAATAAAATTCAAGCTAACAAGACAGGAAAAGGAATATGGCAACACGAAAAAATTTACAGACCAGGAGACATTTAAGGATTTCAGGAGAGAGTTTTAACTCAATACTGCGAGATCAAGTAAGTTTTACGAGAAGAATATGCTGTAAAGAAAAAAATTTAGGGAATCTACTGGACAATAACAGTAAATGTGGGTTTTCACAAAAGCAAATTTACTTGATAGTCATCATACATGAAATCGAACTTCCATTCAGCGTAGTCATTGCTTGAATAAAGAAACAAATTATAGGAGAAGAAATGTCATATTAATGTGACAGGAGGAATATCCATACCCAGAACTTAAGTAATTTCTCCTTCTCAAATTTTTCCTCAGTATGATAGTCCAACTGCAGAAGGCACAAATGGAACAGAACATGGTCCAAAATTACAAGCTGGAGGAAGAGGAAACAAAATGAATGAGGAAAACAACAGAAATAATCGAGCATGCCAACCTCATGACTTGTTTCTAGATCCACATAGAACCTTTTACCCTCATCAGTTGAATCACAGCAGTCCATTTCGGCACCCATCAGGATTCGATGGGCTCCTAATTTGGTTTTAATCACAGAATAGTATTCAGCATTGGCATCAATATGATGTATTCCTTCTCCATCAGCTCTTCTTGGATCTTCTGTGGCAAGAGCTTCGAAACAATAGCCCCAGTAACATCTACTGAAGGAAGGAGACATCACTTACAGTAAATGAAAAGGAGAATAAAAATTTAAAGCAAAGGTTAATGGTCACTGATATAGCTGCATAAGAACACGAGGTGGGTGGACAGTACATCTATTAGGAATCAACCCTATGAATTAATTGTACTCTACTTTGGAACTATTTATGACTGCCTCTTTTCACAATGGAAACAAATATCCTGGGCAAACTGGTACATGTATAATTATCAATCTAATTACAATTCTCATGATATTAGCACCACTAGATCGTTACTTCCGCACAACATTAACACACTATATCAACTATATTATACACTGCCTTCTTTTGTCCTTGATCATTCACCCTTCAGCATAATGACTGACGAGCGTACATAACAAAATGTATGTTATAACATGCTGGCTTTCCACTTCAATCAGCAACTTCTATGGTTATATACCATTACTTTC